CTGGTCCAGAAAGCCATGCAGGTGTGAAAAACCCGCAGTCCTAATTTTCCCGAGCCACTGCCTTTGAGCCTACCCGGGTTTCGAAACCCCTGGGTAGGCTTAACCCATGAGGCAGGTATTCAAGTCGATGAATACGGCATCGGAACCAACACAACACAAGTCTAAAATTGATGAAGACTTGAAGTCGGTATTCAATCTTCAAAAGCCAGGTAGTACCGGGGAAATGAATTCAGAAAAGATGCAGCGAACGGTAATGTACTTACCTTATCTCCACAGAGACCAAGATCGCTTAGACATTTGAGCACCATCTTATCGGGTTTACCAGAAGCGAAAGTTTTGACGAGAAGCTTTATGGGTATTTTCCGCCGATCGTTCACACTTAGAGTCAACCACTTCCAGCTTAACACAATTAGGATAACATCAGCACAAATCCACTTTTCAAAATAGCGAAAAACAAATGAGAATGATCGAAAGCTGATAAATGTAAAAACCTACTATCTAAGAAGATTGGTTGTGGGACAAACATGGCGCGTTTTGCAGTTTTTCAAAATTTCATTTATCCCTATCCGCCACGCCTGCAAATGGATGAGTGGGCATGTGCTGATAGCGTGAATGCTTTTAGACCCTCTGTTACTTACCTTGGCAATATCAACCGTCTCGGCTACAAGGTAGAAACTCTGAACATTGACGAGATCTTGACCATGCGTAATCCATATCGTTCTCTCCTCGAGTGTCTCTCGAGGACCCCGCTGCTCAAGTTCAAAAAGCACACGCCCATCTTTGGGTAGACCAGCGGGGCGCGCCTCCCAGACCTGGAGAAGCATATAATGTTTTAAGAGGTAAAATGACATAAAGACTACTGCATACCTGCCCCATGTCCAAGACGACTGCATCTCTACCTTCTATGAGCCAGTAAAGAAAGAACCCGTATTCGTCGACTTTGACATGGGCATTAGTCTCCAAGCAAATGCTCTCCTACAAGCAACATATGGTCTAGAAAATAGTTATAATTTGCAATCTTAAAGGCAGCGGCTAGGCAGAATTTCGTTTTCCAGTTTTTCACCTTTTCGGGAC